TGGTAAGAGCTACCTGTGAAGTACTTGCACCCTATTGATTTAAAAACAGGTTTATTTTACTGGAAAAAAGGGTGATCATGCTAATTCAATCAGTGAAGGCTCAGGAGGACAGAAGTCTTTCTCTATTACTTTAACTAGCCATGTAGAGCAATAAGAATGTCACTGCTTGTCACAGATGATGGCTGATGACATTGTGCAATCCCCCGCCAGTCAGACGGGCCAGTGAATCCTGGGCTGTTTCGGCAGTGAAACAAGGCCATGGAGAGGTGTAATTGCAGCAGCAAATTACTTTTAAAACCCTTGGTTCTGTGCGTGTGCATGCATGTTTGCCTGCGAAGGCAGTTTGCTTGCATCTGACCTGGTCGGAGGAACTGTTGTTGTTCCTGACAGTAGCTGTTGGATTCCACAGATCTTCATCGAGATTGTAGAGAAGTCGGGCTGGGAGGGACCTCCAGAGGCAGGCAGGATCATCCCTATCCAAACCATCCCATACAGAACATAATCTGACCTCTTAGTAAAACTACGCAGTTAACCCTGGCGTAACACAAGGCATCACACCTGAACCTGGCACAGATGAAAGCAGGGGGACCGCAGGGGCCAATGTCCTGCTTCTGTAAAAGGTTATACGCTCAAGAGATCCCAGGTAGAGAGCCATGCCTCCAGCTACAAAGGAAGGCAGACCACCCCTGCCCCCAAGTCCATCTCAGACTGACCAAGGAGGAACTTTCCTTCCTGCCCCCAAATGCAGCGTCGGTTTGACCCTAAATGGAGGGGCAAGACCCTCTAGCCAGGACCCTCCAGGGTTGAGTCCCAGCAGGAGCATTGGCACAGCCCAGTCACCATCCCCAGCCTTGGCCAGGTCATCCCAGCCAACACCCTCATCTAGAGACTTAGGCTTCCTTCCTAGTTCTACTTGGGGTCATCATCTTCTTTTTGTTTTTATCAAAAGAAAAAGTCTTGAGACCTGGGCATTTGCCTGAGAGAAGCAGTGAGCCTGCTCCTGCCCGCTCTTCTTTACTTGGGCAGAATCCTGCCCTGCGTTTCGTGCGGTGCACCAGAGCGGGGCCTGTGGTTTGGCTTGGGTCCCTAAACTAATACCGCTGGAAAGCTGGGGTGTGCATGCCAAAGCATTGGCTTCTCCTGTGTTTCCTCCCTGCCCGGTTTCAGACAGCCAGCGCCGCCCACAGTGATTCGGAGCAGGAACCGATGAGATTCTGGCTAAACCCTGTGCAGGGACACGCGGAGTCTGCCACTCTCCCTCACTGGTCCACCTGTAGAAGAACCAGGCAGTATCACGTGAGCCAGTGTCTTCAGGTTCAGTCCCACGGGCAGGCTCCCATGCTTGCAAAAGAAGCATCCCTGCTTCAGCCAGCTCAGTTTTACTTTGGAGTTTGCATTGTGCCTTTGGAAATGAAATCTTGCAGCTGGGTACAGCGGCTGCAGGTCAGACCTGCCGGTTGCACTGGATCCTGCTCCGCGAGGGTCTGACGGCAGGGCACTCGGTCATTGTCTGCATTGCGCCTCCGGTGCTCCAACAAAGGGAAGGGGAGTCTGGGTAGGATGGTGGGTCATTAGCTCAGCTCCCGGGTCGCCAGGTAAGGACTCAGCACAGTCTGCGAGGGGACCAGGCTGACAGCATGAAGGTAGCTGTCCGCTGGTGGATCGACCTTCTGTGGGGTAGTGAAACGAGAGCTGAGTATACCGAGTGCTAGGCTCCCACTAAGGCTGGCACTGCTTCCAGTCTCTCAGTGCCAGATGTGCCAGCATTTTTCTGTCCAGCCTCGAGAAGAAAGGACTTGTCTATCGGCGTATTCATGGCCATATCAGTATTGCGTAAGCTCCTCGTTACCCCACTAGCAGCAGAAATACCCCCTCCCCTGCTCCCACCCACCCCCATAAAAATGAGGAGGGGGTGTTTATGCTTCAGAAAAAAAGCATGTTCATACCTGAGCTGGCGGATCAGAGATGGCCAACTCAAGTTAAAATAGTAGCTCAGGCAGGGCGGTGTTAGTAGCTTGTGGCCCGAAGTTGCTTTGTTCTCATGGCACCTGTCACCCATGCCGCAGCTAACTCTGGCTAGCCAAACCAGGCGAAGAGCGCACCTTTCTTGCATGGCAAACATACCCCTCAAATGATTTGCACACCGGATCGTGCAGGAAATCTCTGTCCCATCACAACAGCCTACGACTTCAAGAAACAACAAAGCCCTGACAAAATCCCTGCTAGGAATCCTGCTCCAACCTTCCCGCTACCCTTGCCAGGCTGGGAGATCTGGAAAATCAGCCTCCCACCAGAGGTCTAGCTTGAGCCACTGCTTCCCTGTGCTGTGGATGGGCTCGTCCCCTCCTTTCGTTATCCTCCCCCCACCACCCCTTGAGTTATTAAAAACTAGCCACTGAGTAGAGCAGCCTCCAACTTGCAAGGCGCCAGCACCCTCCCGCCAGGAGCCTCTATTGACAGTTATCCAGAATCTGAAGGAATTCAAGACAAATGGTTAAGAGGATGGAGTTAATAACATTTGAAAAATTGAGACCTGTCACTCCACTAAACTTTTTTCAATACCACTGACAGAAACATATTTCCCCAATGAGTGACCTTCTGCAGCTGCTCCGGCTACACGGCGCGGCACAGATGCTGGAAGTGAACTGGAGCGCTATTTATCAAATATTATAAGCCAGAGCCTACTAATATGAGGAGTGCTGGGGAGGGAGGGGAGGTGGGTGCCTCACACAGCCTGGGGTGTTGCCCAGGTGTTGATCCCCAGCTAGAGACAGCTAGTGGGAGGTGACAAATTGCCTCCTATTAAGGATCTAAAGGTTGGAGCCCTCTTGGTGCACACACAATAGATTGCCAAGGCAGCGGTGTCCAAAAGGCAGTGCTATTCAGACCAGCTGCAGGGGAGGAGGGCTGTGGAGGGGGGGACCGGAGAAGGGAGGTCAGGCCAAGCCTCTGATGAAGTAGTAGCCACTTTTGCGTTGTGTTAGCAAGCAAAGCGACACCATTATTTATGGCGGCGTAATATTTTATCGCCGTCGGTACTTGCGGTAAAATCGACCAGTTGTACAAGTCAGGTTCTATCAATTATTGCAGCAATTAGTCAAGTCGTCAAAGCCATTAACAGGGGGATTAGGCCAATATTGGATAGCCATTATTGATAGATCTAGGGGAAGGGGGGAAGAAAAAAAACAAACAACCTACCCTCGTTGCTTCTAATGAAAGCAGGTCTGGCCTCAAGGATGTCATCATTTGGAGAGCTTGGAAAACTTTCCCTTTTCACTACCGAGTGTAATGCTGACAGTGTCGTCGAACGGCATCAGAGCTGGAGGGAGCACGCTTTCAAAGCACTGTCTCTTTAAAAGATATCGAGTGGCCAGCTCAGGCAGTATATAATCTCACCTGTCTCGATCATATTCTTTATTTGCAATGACACAGCTCACAATAGAAATTACTCTGTGTCGAATGTTTATGGAGCACATTTTTCATTCTGTAAGCAAATATAGATCCCCAATGCCCGTGCTTAGAAATGGCTCATCTGCCGTCTCGCTGGTTCGGATAGCAAAGGCCGCGCTCAGCTCTTCAGTTTATTAGGACTGCGGTTCGTTCTTATCGAGCGCAGGTAGCGTACAGCACAGAGCGCGCTGCATTTTAGAGGCAAAGATCGGAACCGCAGAGTTGGGTCCTGCGGAAATGCCGGAGTCGCTGTCCCTGAAACGTAGCCCCATCGGGTCAGGTTAATTCAGGCCGTCAGCTGCTCGTTTCTCAGTCTGCTCTGCTAAATAAGCCAGTGAGATTAGCGGAAGAAGTTAACAGGGGAAAATGTTTGTCACCCTTTGTATAGTTTGAAGGGAAGTGTAATTGGGAAGTTTGCCTTTTTTCTTAGCGTTGCGCACACGTTAACTTTCTTCTCCTGTAAACGTTACAGTTGGACAGACAAACATTGGAGCAACAGCACAGACCCTGAATGCAGCACTGCAGTTCTTTGCTTTTTGACTTGGGTTAAGGGTTTGCAAAGCTACTATCACTCGAAAGATGACCCGTCTAGTCAGGTGTAGCAATTGAAGCAGCAGAGCTTCAGGTCACAGGCAGCTGGAACAGTTGTGTAGCTGGAGGCAGCAGGCTACAGCAGCGTGACCTGTGTGAGATGGCACTTGGTCCAGCCTCTGCCCTTGCCAGGGCACCAGGACGTGCTAGGATCCCCTGAGAACCCTCGATTGACATCTTTGGTGCACCCATCTCTGCCTGTTTCCTTAGGCAGTCAAGTTGCATTCTCCCTGTCTTGGAGTACGGTATGTAGAAACACAGAAAATGAGGGTTGGAAGGGACCTCACGAGGTCACATCCAGTCCAACCCCCTGCTCAAAGCAGGACCATCCCCAGCTACAGCATCCTACTAGTGCCTTTGTAGCACGTCATATTTTGCCCTATCCCACCACGGCTGCTGTGTTGCTCAGTGGGAGAGGGGGTGTGAGTTTTGTCAGTGCTTAGGGTAGAACTTCTTCCCTGAGTGTATGTGAGCCTCTCGAGTGAAAGACAAGTTGCCTTTGGTAAAGAGTTGTCACAGCTACAATACAGCCACCTTTGTGGCATAAGGCAACAGCTGTTTAACAGGCTACAGCCGTCCTGGACTACAGTGTAGACCGGGAAGTGGAGAAGAATGCCGTATCCAATCGAAGCTGCTGTAGTCCTGTTTGCCTGCCCTAAGCTTAGTAGCTGCTGCTTTTGTGAAGCTCTGTTTTCTTTTGGTCACTCCATGGGCCTTTATTGCCGCTGCAGCTTTTCCCTGCCAGGCCAATTGTTCCAAGTGACACTAACCTTTTGTTGTTCCTGTGACGTCCGTGCGTGTAACTGCTGGTTGGACATTGTCCACTTCTGATCTCGCTACTGCTCGGAGCAAAGGGTAGAGGGAGATACTGGCTAGCCCTGGGGGTCACAGGTTTGTGCTTCGTGTCTATTCTGTCCCAGGTTTGAACTCTGATCTCTCCTTTCTTCCCCTCTGGTCAGGAGCCAACCCCCTGCAGAAGAATGAAATGGGACACGCGCCGCTGGATTATGCCCGCGAAGGGGAAGTCATGAAACTGCTGAAGGCTTCGGAAACAAAGGTGAGTCAGGTTCAGGTGGTTGTAGATTGCCTGCCGTAGGGGACCTGGGTGACGCCCCTAACTGCACCCTTGAAAGACGTACAGGGAATTTTCAAGAATGACCTGAAGCGACACAGTGCATAATTAAAACCTGCAGAAATTAGTAGAAGCATCCTTGGGGACCGCTGTGGCGGCTCATTCTCCCCTTCTGCACAGCCTGTCAGCATGGCACTGAAGTGCACAGCACAAGCAATATTGTCTTGTCACCTACAGAGCCTCCAAGCAGCGTGGGGTAAAATTGGAGTGCCAGTCCCGCCTTTTTCTTCTGAAATCTCTGGGATTGCCAGGGGTATGATTAATCCTTGAGACAGGCCTGGCCTAGCTGTCCAGGGACAGGTGAGATCCTGTAACTTCTGAGCATTGGTCTTGGATCAGACACTGACTTCTGCTGTGTCTGTGGACTGCTCCCCTAACCTCTCCCATCCTCGCCTCCTTCAGCGGTTGCACAAAGTCATCCTGCTTCATTAATGAGTTGTGTTTTTAGAAGTTTTGTGGATAGGAAGAGGAAGGAACCAGAACTGCATTGATTAGCAACACTTGCTCCATTAAGGAGGGGGACATACAGACTCAGGGCTTGGGGCACTGGGGAAAACATGCTCACCTTTTACCTGTTATCTAGATAATCATCATCTCTAACAAGAAAAATTCCCAATTATTAGTGCCTCCTGTTAAACCGCCCCTAAGATTAGTGGATACAGGTTCTGTTAAAGGGGAAGCAGCATCATTATAAAGTAGTAATAATGACTTACACTTCGGGAATGCCCTTCTTTCACGAATCGTGGGTCAGTCAAGGCATGAAGCTTCACAAACCCCTGTGATGCATGGATCATCACCCCCGTTTTACAGATGGGAAAACCGAGGCCCAGAGAAGTTTAGGCTCCTATATGTAAAAATGAAGCTTTGTTTGGGGTGCCTCAGTTTCTGGATGTCTAGCATTAGGTGCTGAATTTGCAGTTTTGATAACACAGGCTGGAGGGCTTGTCCAGGCTGGGAAATGTGTCAGCTAACATGCTAATAAGCATGCTCTTAAGTACCAGCTAGCATCTTAGATAGAGGCAGAATCATGTTTAGCCAGTCAAAAGCAACATGATTGTCTTGGCTGCCCTCACACAGAAGGTCTTTGATGGAGCCAAATGTACCCAGTTTCCAGGTTGCTAACCGCCTACTCTAGCCCTAGACCCCTGCTTATCCTCCTCTCTGACACCATTCCCTTCTGTTCCCAACTAAGAAGAGCTTGAATGTGATAGTCCTCTACAGAGCTGGTGGCTTCTCAGATTGGCCGGAGGCATAGCTTGGAGGCAGCTCTAACAATCAGAACGGTTCTGCCAAAGTTTGAAAGCAGAAACATTGGCGACAAAATCCTTAAATCACTGAGAGGAGGTGAGCGGGGGAGAGCCTCTCCTGGTTAAATAGTCTCTGGGGCCCAGCATCAGTGCATGAAGCTGCCCTTTTAACTTGGAAACCGTTTTAAAAGCTGCATCAGTTTTCGCACTTAACTAATAGATGGCGGGGAGAGAGGAAATATAGAGGGGAGGATGCCGCCAATGAAAACGATTGCATGCAGATATAAAGCATAAGTCTGGGAAGCTGGCTGGTGATGAATATTCAGCTGAGGGGGACGTGGCGCTACCGGGGCCGTACTCCACTCCTGCCTCTGCGTTCCACCGAGAGTCTTTGAGAATTTATTGCTCGTTTTAATCACGGCTGGAGAATGAATTGGCAGGGCTATTAACCGGATGGGCACAGCCCATCTATTTTATTTACATATCCCCGTGACAGAGTAACAAGGAGTTTTCATATGTATTTTTAATTTGTTTGCGAAGAGGTATTCGGCGAGGGCTTGCTTCGTGTGCATGGCGCTCGTCTGTGGGGTTGAAGCTCTGAGCCACGTTAGAGCAGTAAATGAAGCCTGTAGCTGTCCGTGTGCACGCAGAAGGCGAGAGCGGGGCTCCTGTGCTCTCCTGCACACCCAGCCCAAACCATAAGCATAATGCAGTGGAGGCCCTGACCGGCTTTGGACCCTTTGCGGCTGCCCGGTTTCGACTGCCCTGATGGGAAGGGGAAGCTAAACTGTAGTCTCTTGCCCTTTTTTCACCATTTTACCTTCAGATAAAGAGTATGCATGCAGATAGTTACTGCAGACCACTGACCCTGCCTCCATCTGCCCTGTTCTTACTGTTTGTGCTCCCTTATCCTAAGCTAGTCCCTGTGCCCATTCAGGTCTTGACCCCCTTGACTCCCACAGAAGCTGCAAGAAAGCCACTTAGGGCCAATCCTCCTGTTGTTTCCCAGGCTTCTCTGAAAGCCTTGTTTCCTTGTCGGTGCCACAGCCAGAACTGGATTGTAGGTCCTGCAGATTCTGGGCCATCTCAGACCACTGGATCTCCATGTTTCTATTGGTCTTTTATACCTTGCCCATCCTATTCTGGATATCTGAGGAGTAGACCTCCGCAAAGTGCCTGCGCATGGGCCTGCCTACACAGTTGTGTTCGTTAGAGAATAAAGCTGGGGTCTTACTGACCTCATAGAAGGCACTGGCTGCAACCCCTTTGTAACCAACAGAGTTACGCCAGGGGCACATTTACCCCTTGATGGGAACAGACTGCCCCTAAAAGTCTCTTGAAGCCTGTTGTTACTTCCCTAGCTTACTTCATATCCCTGACACGTTTTCTGGCTGAAAACAAGTTTACAATCCTGGTTGTGTTAATCTTTTAAATTCCCTTTCCTGTAATGTAAAAGATGCTGTGTCCTCCACATTCCCAGGTTGTTTGCAGGCGTTCAGTCTCACCGCAGCTGTGCTTTTGAACCTCTCTTCTCTGAATATTTTCCCGTAAATGAAATCATGCTTGGGAGAGGTGCCATGCCAGATAAAGAACAATAAAAGCCAGTGAGCATGATTGCCGTGCCCGTAGTAGCAGCGGGAAGCCGGGCACTGCTATCTCAAGGTGAGGTCTGAAGCAGCTAATAGAGCGTGCCTCTGATTAAAGAGATGGGCTCTTTTCTTCTGTGCTTGGCACCATCTTGCAAGAACCTCTTAGCCCCTATGAACACAGATGATCTCTTGGCTCCCGCCAGGAGTCTCAGCCCCCGCATCTCTTTCCAAGCACGTAACCTCAGTGTAATCCACTTAGATGCCAATGATGTTCCATGAAAGTTTAATCAGTTATCGACACAGTCCCAGCGGATAGCATCTCACACCCCGTGCAAGGAGGGGGTGTCGCTTCTGGCGGCTGCCAGTCACCAGCCCAGCAAACCATTGGCCGAATGTCAAAACTAAACAAGGGCAGGCTCGCTGGGTGACTGCTTCCCAGAGCAGAACCAGTCTAGTGCCAGCCAGCATGAGCCCAGCGCTCGAGTGGCTAACCCTGATGTTCTGTGAGGGTGACAGGAAGGAGGTACGCTGTGCCATTGAAGGAACAGTGCGGACCCACTGCAGAGGAAGCCTCGTCTGGTTCTGCACAGAGAGGAGAAGGGTTGGGATAAAGAAATCAGCAGAAGTGATCACTAACCAGAGAGAGTGAGAGCCTCATATGAGATCTGGCCCTGCTCTGGATGAAGGGCTGGAGCAGAGGGAAGGGGCTGTAATAGCCCCACTTCCACATGGAAGTGGAAACCAGTGTTTGGCACAGCCACTGCAGGTACTGCCATACAGCCACCTTCCAAAGACTGCCTCGCCAGTCCCAGGGCAGCAGTGCCACCAGGGAAGTCCCTCCTTTTGTCCCTACACTGAGTAAGTTGATTCTGCCGAAAAGGACCTGGGGGGATAGTAAACAGTAAGCTGAAAAGGACCCACCAGTGTGCCCTTGGTGCCAAGAAGGCCAACGGCATCCTGGGCTGCATTGGTAGGAGCGTTGCTAGCAGATCAAGGGAAGTGATTCCTCGCCTCTATTCGGCACTGGGGAGGCCACATCTGGAGTCTTGTGTCCACTACAGAAAGGATGTAGACAAGTTGGAGAGAGTCCAGCGGAGGGCAATGAAAATGGTTGAGGGGCTTTGGCACATGACTGGTGAGGAAAGACTGAGGGAACTGGGCTGACTGAGTCAGGAGAAGAGAAGACCGAGCGGGTTTGATAGCAGCCTTCAGCTCCCTGCAGCAGGGTGCAAAGAGGCTGGAGCTGGACTGTTCTCAGCGGGGGCAGGTGAAAGGACAAGAAGCAATGGGCTCAAGCTGCAGCAAGGGAAGTTGAAGTTAGATATTAGGGAGAACTTTCTCACTCGGAAGGCGGTGAAGCACTGGAACAAACTACTTAAAGAAGTTGTGGACTCTCCATCCTTGGAGGTTTTGAAGCCCCGGCTGGACAAAGCCTTGGCTGGGATGATGCAGTCGGGGCTGGTCCTGCTTTGCGCAGGGGGTTGAACTAGATGTGACTTCCTGAGGCCCCTCCAACCCTCATTGTCTATGATTTTATGATTTTGCGATAGCCTGCCCGGACGAGGCACATAGCAGAAACTTTGGGAGGGCAGGTTCTCCAAGCGCTGCAGCAGGCTTTTCTTCCTGGTGGGGGATTCAGAGTGCAGCCCCTTTGTCAGCTGTCTGGCCTGTTTCCTTCCCAGAATCTCTTGTGCTTTTGCATGCAGAAACCTGACGTTACAAGTTGTAGGTGCTGGGAGACTCAGTCTTCCCAGAGAGAGACGAGGTTTCCAAAGACGGGAGCTGTGCGTGGCTCTTGCATTGCTCATCCCCTTCAGAAGTCCTTTTCCTCTCCGTATAAACCAGCACCGTACACTGCTGCTCCAACAGCAGAGCGTATGTTCCTTAGACTGTACAAAAAGGAAAAGAAAAGGGGAGGGAACAGGAAAAAGAATGAACCTGTCTAGAGATAGAGAAAGACATAGACGCAGATAAATAGAAGGAGCTTCAGCATTTTGTGCCCGGTGATATATAGAAAGCCTGAGGGAGACACACGGTTGACACGCTGGCTTCGGTCCTGCCTGTGTCAGTCCACTGGGGTCGGCAGCGAAGTTATTGCTCCAGATGAAACCTCAGGACTGATGGGATCTCTCCGTTTTGCAGCAGGCTGATCACATCAGCCACGGTTGGGTTGTTTGGTTTGTATATTTCTTTAACATCTATGGAGGTCACTGCCATACCAAAAGGCCAGCAAAACAGCTAGCAGGTTTTACCCATATGTCACCGCTACTTTCATAACAGCCTTCTGCTCTTATGAGTGTTCCCCCTTCAGAAGATGGTTTAAGTGCTCAGGCCAGTGGCACTCAACCTTTTGGCCCCACGTGCCAGATGAGTAGCACAGGGTTGGTCCATGGGCCAAGTTGGATCCCATACACTGGGATTAGGTCTCGTCCTGTCCCTGCTTAGCCCCATATGCTGGAATTGGGTCCTGAGACCTGCCCCCACGTGGTCCCATGTTCTGGGATCAGGCTCCAGGGCTCTGCATGTCCCTGCCCAGCCTTGCATGTGAGGATTGGACCATGGGGCCCTGTGTACCACCCTGTGTACCCATCTAGCATGCAGAGTTACGGCCTGCAGGACTATCGCAGAACCATGGGGAACCCTACGGGTTGGATGACATGGTGCCAGGGGCCAGATCCAGCTTACACTATGCACCCCTGGCTTAACTACACACCAGCAGAAATCCCAGGTGTTCTTTTGAGAAGATCTCCTTTTAGCTAACCCCCTGCACTGGGAAGAGGTCTTTTCTTCAGACTACTGAGTATTCAGATTGCCAGCGGGGTTAGCATTGTCTGGCGATGAGATTGAACCACAAGTCTGGAGGCACGCGTGCTGTTCTCCGCCCTGCCACTGACACCCTCGTTGTCCTGGACTAAGGGAAGCAGATTCCACAGCTCCCATGTTCCACATCCACGGCTGTGAATGTTATTCTGGTTGGTTTTGAAAAGGGCGCTGGCCGCAGGATTTCCTCTGGAAGGTCGTTCTGTAGCTGGGTCCCCTCTCCCTCTGCACTTTGTGATCTGCCTTTTCCCTGGGGAGCGCCGCTGTCCTGGTGGTTCAGGGATGGAGCTGGGCACTGGTAGGTTAATGGCTTTGAAGATGACTTCCGAGGCCCTACCTGCATTGACAGGGTGCTCATGGAGAGGCTGAAGCATGGGCTCTCTGTTGGTGGCCTCACCCAGGAAGGAGGTTGAGGGGCTGCATTTTGCTTTAAATACAGCAAATTTCAGGAATCGAGTGTCAAGGGAACATAGACAAGAACAAGGTTTTATGTTTTATCTTTTTATTTTTCATGGCAAGAAGGTTTGTGCTTTGCTTAGTGACCATTTGGGATTCTTGGTCAGTAGTGCTCTTTCCCCTGATCTAGTACTGAAACCCTGTCCCTAGCATGGCCGTAGGGACCAGGGTACTTTTGGAACAGCTTTCTTTCCTAAGAGATGCAGAATGAAGTATCTTTCCTAAGAGATGCAGAATCAAGTATCCTGGTCGTTATAGATTCCAGCTCAAAGTCCAGCTTAGCTAATTACCTTCGGGTATGCACATTTCCACCCCCAGCACCCCTGCCATTTTATGACATAGATCAGGGCTGCCCAGCTGGCAGCCCACAGGCCACGTGCAGCCTGCAAGGAGTTAATGTGTGGCTCCAGGCTCCTACACAGGCTCTGCTCCCCCCATCGCTCGCTGCTGCTGCAGTCAAGGGCTCCAGGCTCCCCATCCCATCCTTAGCGTTTGCTTCTTGCTCCAGTCCCAAAGGGTGCAGCCCACAGCTCCAGACGAGCCCACGGTGCAACGCAGCAAGGGAGCTGAAGTGGGAGCCGCCTGCATGGAGTGCAACGGTGGCAGGGGAGAGGACATGGACAATATCATTCGCTCTCTCCAGAATGTTAACATTTGTGCTTTGGAGGCTGTTAAACTACTGAGTTCCCTTCAGTTGTGCCTGCTTTTCAGTAACTGGGCAGAGCGATCCCCTGGGATGGTTGGAACATGTGTTTGCCTGGTTCTTTGTGCGAAAGATGCGTTATCAATGTTATTGTTTGGTCAGAAAACATTTTAGTCACGGCCCTCGCTTCCTTTCCGCAGTTCCAGGAAGAGCAGCGGAAGAGAGAGCTAGAGGAACGGCGCAGATTTCCACTGGAGCAGCGGCTGAAAGAGCACATCATCGGTCAAGAGAGCGCCATAGTGACAGTGGGAGCCGGTAAGGTCGCTGGCTCTGTCTTTCTCGTGCCATGCTTCTCTAAAATTGATATGCAAAAGGAAAACCATCATATATCCGAAATGCATGGACCTGGGCTAATTGCAGCCAGGCTGTAGAGATGTGCTGGTCTGCAGAGGTGAGAGGCAGTGACCTTTCAGTGAGGTCCCATACTCTCTCGTGCAAAGGAAGCGTGAATTTTCCTTGAGTGGAACAGAGGTGGGACGGGGATATCGATTCATTTGGCCAGTTTGTGAGTGACACTCACTGGCCCCAGAATGGGGAATCGCAGCTTAGGGCAGTGATTCTTGCTAGAGCAGGGTGCCTGGAGATCCTTTCAAGAATGTCGTGGGGTCCACGCAATATTAGCACTGTTAGGTACACAAACATGAGTCACGCGATGCACACAGAGATTTTAAATAGGAATCCGTGGTGTCAAAGCCATTCTGGCCTGTTGCAGTCTTTCTGAGTTCTTTGCAACAGAAGAATTGCGCTAGTGTTTTTCTGTAGTCAAAAGCCGAGTAAAAACTAAGAGCTGACGTTTTCCAAAGGGTGCCTCGAGTCTTAGCAAGGTTGAGAACCACTGTGCTAGGGGTTCATAAATATGAATTAATTTAAAAGGAGAATCATCAGTAGTCTCCTCTTTTGAATAGATCTTCTCACTGCTTCCCAGAACAACAGTGCAAAGCAGGGTGTCAGCTGCAGTGTTGCTGGCTTGTGCATGCGATCGTGGCTTTCCGTTTCGCTTTTGTGCCGCTTGTCTTCTCTGCTTGCATCTGTTCTTCTCTATCGTGTGGTGGCATTCATTTGACACCTCCTTTCATAAACACGGGAATGTCACAAGTTGTTTTGCCCAGGGTGATGAGCAAGAAGAAGGTGGCTAGGGTGCTTTCTCAGATCAACTCCTGGAAGAGACGCCTTTTCCTCAGCTAGAGAAGATCCTATCCAGAATCATTTCACCATCATCAGCAAAGAGAGTTTAGAGGCTGAAAAATTTGTGAAGAATGGTGCCAAGCACTCTGATTTAAGAGTTGCCGTCGTACTCCCTGGAATGAAACGTGCAGGATAAATATGGTGACACTGGATCATACAATAACTAATCATTTGTATGCAAGGCTTTGTGTAATAACAGTAATTAGGATGTTCATTCACTATTGGCTTTCTAGCATCTTGGGTGGCTGCACATACATAAAACTCCTACCTGCTTTCACCATAAGACTTAACCTGAGAACAGTTCTGCTGGTTTGGGGCTCCATCCTAATCTGAAACGCACACACAGGTGTCCTTTGTATATCATGAATTGCGATATTTGCCGGCTTCTTGGACTCATTTGTAAGATAAGTCTACATTAAGCTGCATGGCCTAAAACATCCTTGGAGTCTTGCTTTTCTGAAGACTACAGATAACAATTTCAAAAGCACTTAAAGTGGCTTTAAGAGCCTCCATCCCGTTGAATTAACATGCACCTAAGTATTGAAGGGCCAAAGTTAGGTGCCTAAATGCCTTTAAAAATCTGGTCCTAAATTTACGTTAGGAATTTAGGGTCCTAAGTGCCTTGGGAAATTTTACCCTTAAAGCTACATCTTTGCGTTCTTGAGAAATTCGGCCTCTCGGTAGAAAAAAAAGAGGGAGAAAAAAGAAAGAAAAACTACTAACAGAAGGATATTGTAATCCTTTCAGAGCTTTTTCACCTCGGTCGTTCTCAGAGGGCATTTTGTAGCAAATACTAGAATTATTACATTTTCAACGGCAGCCTGTTACTGCAAGATCTCCCCCTGCTACATCCACTGGCCTTTTATAGATGTACAGGAGGGACCCACAATTTTCACTGTGGACATACCAAGGGAAAAGGGGACAAAAAAGGAAAAAGCCCGGGAAGTAAAATAGCATAACTAATTTTGGCTTGTCTGGTTTTCTTATTTGTTTTCTAGGAAGCGGGGCTATATGGTTTAACACATAATGCATTTAATAGAGCAGTTAGGGAGTTTGTCAGGAAATAGTTTAGGCTGAGTACATGGTTGGCTGTGTAGTGTTTCCCACTTAGATCCAGTCCTTCAGCCAGCAATCTACAACCTCACCCTCCTTTAGCAATTGAGCAGCAAAGCGCGGACTGGGTCTCTTCTGGCCAAAGGTTTCCTTGTTCTTCTTGAATCTTTGGACACCTCTTTAGGAGGCAGCGCTATCTAGTAGAGGAGCAGGTGGCTGGAAGGTGAGACAAGGGGGTTTGCATGGGACTGGTAGTTTGCTGGGAGTCCACGCATGTGTGTGTCCGTGTCTGTGTGTGTGTTTTGTCACACAGTTGGTTGGTGTGGAGTTTGCAGGGTGTGTATCCAGAGTACTCTGGAGACTGCAACCCATTGCTGCCTGATCACAGCTGAGCCCAAATGAACGGGTAAGGCTCATTAGACAAAAGAAGCTGAAAAGCCAAGCAGCCGCAACCAGCAGGAGCCTGGCGACCAGAGGGCTGCAAACAGGGGCCTTTGTCTTTGTGTGGGAGTGTGTAGGATGGTGATCAAGGCCTCACCAGAGAGACCCAAAGAACGGCAGATAACAAACAGGGCTGGAGGCAGAAGTGGCAGGATGGATGTTATCCTTGGATTGGTGCCTGAAGACTGCTGCACCTGTATGAAGCTCACCTGACCTCTCCTGGAGGTTTTCAAGACAGTCACCTTGCTGGGGTCACTTGACCCCAGTTGTCTTCCTGCCTAGAGCGGGGGGCTGGACCCGATGATCTGCGAGGTCCCTTCCGGCCCCCAACAACCTATGAATCTATGGCAGAGCTCACAGCAAAGAAAAAGCAAGGGCTCGAGATGCCGGGG